TTTTCTTTTCTTTTTCTTACTACAAGCAAAAAGGTTTTCTTCGTAAGTCGTACCGTAAAATGACGAGAACAGTAATGTTTTTTTTTCTCTCTTTTTAATGAATTACAGAATAGAATGAGTAAGAATTATAAAAAAAAATAAAAAACCTTGAATTTTCTTTTCCTACTATCTGCAAAAGTACAATATGTCGACATGTGCTTAATAATAATATATAGTTACTTCATAATCAATTGTAAAAATTATGCCAAGCTTTCGAACTAATGATCGATTCTAAAATCTTCGTATTTTTCTGTTTAGTTCTAATGTCATCCAAGCATTTTTAAGTAGAATAATAAATGACATTGAAAATTAATTACTTCCACATGCATCAGAAAATCTTAGAATGTATTTATGCACTGTTTACTAATGAAAAATGATCCTAAAATAAAATGAAATGAATATATTTTTTATAACTATATTCGACTATGACTGCCATCTATCACGTTGACTGTCTTAATTGGATAGAAGTCGATGCAGATGAGTAAGATTGGTTTTATTACGAGTCAACATATAGAAGTCGTACTATTGTAGAAAAAAAAATAGGAAGAAATCCTTATCTGTTGTTTTCTTTTATCTTTCCTTCAATACTTACAAGTCCTTATTTTTAATTTACTTAACTCACAATATAGGCAATGTCGGCATCGGCCATATACATATTAGATATGAAGGGCAAAGTAAATTCAACAATTAGCTTTTTTTTATCTTAAATAAATATATGGGATTTTATTTAGGTGCTCATATCTCGAAATTATCGTGGTGATATTGAAATGAATGTTATTGAAAAATTCATGCAATTATTATTAGAAAAAGAAGATGAATCTCAGTTATCACCGATATTTCAACATGGTGATGTTGCTTTTGTCTATATTAAATACAATAACGTTTATCGTTCGTATATTTTTATTTAATTTCTTTTTGTTTACTTTAATTGAATATTTTTAGTTGTATGTACAACGAAGATTAATGCAAATGTTATTTTGGTTTTATCATTTCTTTATAAATGTGTTCGTGTCTTTTGTGAATATTTTAAAGAACTTGAAGAAGAATCAATTCGAGATAATTTTGTTATTGTTTATGAATTACTTGATGAATTAATGGATTTTGGTTTTCCACAATCAACCGATTCAAAAATTCTTCAAGAATATATAACACAAGAAGGACATAAACTCGAAGAAGTTCGTCCACCACCGGCATTAACACAAACAGTTAGTTGGCGATCAGAAGGATTAAAATATCGAAAAAATGAAGTTTTTCTTGATGTTATTGAATCTGTTAATCTTTTAGTAAATTATTTATTTCTTCAAATGCTAAAAATAATTTTTTTTCTTTCTATGACATATAGGTTAGTTCAAATGGAAATGTTCTACGTTCCGAAATTAATGGGGCAATAAAAATGCGTGTATATCTTAGTGGTATGCCAGAATTACGTTTAGGTCTTAATGATAAAGTTTTATTTGAAACAACTGGCCGTATGTTTTATTTTGAAAATGAAAGAACAAAAAAAGACATGTTTTTTTTGTTATTTAGGTACAAAAAATAAAGGTGTTGAATTAGAAGATGTTAAGTTTCATCAATGTGTTCGTTTATCTCGTTTTGAAAATGATCGAACTATATCATTTGTTCCTCCTGATGGAGAATTCGAATTGATGTCCTATCGACTTAATACACAAGTAAACTTTCTAATAGAAAAAATTATTTTTCGAATTTTTTTTCCTTAGGTTAAACCATTGATCTGGATTGAATCATCCATTGAAAAACATTCTCATTCACGTGTTGAATATATGATTAAGGCAAAATCACAATTTAAACGTCGTTCAACAGCCAATAATGTTGAAATTATTATTCCTGTTCCATCGGATGCTGATACAGGACGATTTAAAACAACATGTGGTACCGTTAAATATGTTCCTGAAAAAAATTCAATGATCTGGTCCATGAAATCATTTCCAGTTCGTCTATCTTTTTTTTGTCGTAATACCAATTCAATTTTTCTTTAATAATCTAGGGTGGAAAAGAATTTTTAATGCGTGCACATTTTCAATTACCAAGTGTACAAAGTGTAGATCTAGAAGCTAAACCTCCTATTCAAGTTAAATTCGAAATACCATATTTTACAACATCCGGAATACAAGTAAATGAAATATTTTTTTTCATATTATATTTTTTTTATCTTATCTTGTCTTATCTTAATAGGTTAGATACTTAAAAATAATTGAAAAAAGTGGTTATCAAGCATTACCATGGGTGCGATATATAACTCAAAATGGCGATTATCAAATTCGTACAACATCCTAATTTTTTAAAATCTGCATTTGCTTTCTTTTCTTTCGTTTTTTTTTTGTAAATTCATCATTGTCATCATCAATACTCATACTACTCGCATTCCTAATATATCGGATGTCTTTTTTTTTGTCAGTATTTATAATCTCGTATTGAATCAAATATTTGCGAGATAAAAAAAAGAACAATGATTTTTATTTATATCATATAAGAATAAGATAATAGTTATACTTAGTATAATATGATTCTTTTTTTTTATTATTTGATGTGAGAACTACTAGTATTCCAATGTCAATATATACACTTTATGTTCTTTTCAATTTCGGGAGGAAAGAAAAAAAAATGAATTCACACGATTACTTGTTGCTTTTATTTTAAAAAATTTATTAGTAACACTTTCTTCTCTTATTCATCATTATTGATGTTTCTAGTAGGCGGAATGTTGTGCATATATATATATAGACGTATACTTATCGGCGATTGTATCAAAAATAATTTCAAACACATTTCATAGTGATTGTAAATTAAATCGACCATCGAAAACAAGAATCGAAATGTCTATTTCACAAACATCATTTACTGCACCATGTCATGTTTATGCTGGAACAATATCAAATAAAACAGATAAATCAGTCTTATGTACAATTCATTATTCATCAGGTCCAAATAATAAACTTGAAGATACAATATCTGTAAAACTTGATGTTGGTGGTCGAGCTTGTATACCTGAACGAGAATATCAACCAACACCTGAAGCAACATTTACTTGTCGAAAAATTGTTAGTCGAATAGATATTCAAACAGATGAACAATCATTTTCATTAGAACAACCATTTGATGGTGTCACATCTCCAGTAACTGAATGGAAATTTGATGTGCATAATGATCATATTGCTTCAATGAATCCAAATATTCTAACAATAACACTCGAATCTCCTACTACAACTACTCAATAAGAAAAGTTACAATTATTTACTAACATTAGTCCATTTATCTTGTTTTCTTCTTATGATCTTCGAATTTATATAAAGTATACAAAGTTTAGAGATAAATCTTATTTACGAGAAATCCAATGGTCGTAGTGATATAGGATCGATAAAAAAAAGAAATAGAATTACTAATGTACTAATCAATAATCATATGATTAGATCTAACTTTGTTATAAAAGATCATGACAGAACGTGTATAATAAATAATATTTATATTCGGAAATATTCTTTTCATTAAACATGCACGCAAAGTTTCCATTATCTGAAATTCTCATCATTAACTTAAACAAATAAGAACATGTTTCTTCGAGTTTTTTTTTCATTGAGAAAAATATTGTTCAATATTCTTTATAATTATTTTTCATAATCGAAATAATTGACCATAATGTTATCTTATATCTAATAAAAAAATCTTGATAACAATTTAGATTTTAAACATATCATTTATAAATTAACATAGTAGAAGTTCTCAAATATAAATACTTATAATTAGTTTCTTATATAATAAAAAGTATGTATAACATTTGATTATAATATGAAGATTTTTTTCCCTCTCCTTCTGTTATGTCATTATTTTCATAATGACAAAATCATCTAATGATATAATAATTTTTAATACCTTGAATAATCTAGACTATCATTTCTTTCATTATGACAAAAAAATATATCTAAACAAGGTAATCAAAATAAATTGTTTCATTGTTCTTCAATGACATCGGATAAACAAATAAATATGCAACTGTCAATTGTCTTTAGCTTAATGTCTATTTTGATATTATTCATAATGAATAGGCCTTTCATAATATAAAATGAGTTGTTTTTTAACCCGAAAATATTGTATAATATGTATCCATTTGTTTTTCTTTTGCTAATGCAACAAATGATATATTTCAATCCAGGGTTACGCATAAATAAAATAGATTAGACACGAATCAGCACACAGTTTAATGATATAAAACTTCATGGTTTAGTTGAGATATCCCTGATATTGAAATCTTTTTTCTATATATCACAATCAATCAATATGTTATTTTTCTCTTGTTATGCAAACGCTAGACGTATTTATTTATAATCGAGAATAAAAAAAATAAGATAGAGATAAAAGGAACTGATTATTTTAAAAAAAAATAAAGTTATTGACGAGGTTAAGAACGTCGCGGTACATTATTTGATTGACCACCGAATGTTGAATTTTCATCGTTAAACATCATAAAACCTATGAATAAAAAATCGATTTTTTTACGTGAAAAAAAACCCATAAATGACTAACCTTGTACACCGACAGGAGCACCACCAGCTCCACGAGGAGGAGGTGTATAAGATGAATCAGGTGTATCTCCGCCAACTCCTCCTCGCGCTAGTTCACTCATCATTTGCATGAGTAATTCAGGAGGTATGAAGGATTGACCACCTGGACCTCCACCAAAGTTTGATCCCTAATAGAATAAATAAAAACAAAAAAATTGAATTTTAGTTTCTTTTTTTCCGATATATATTAGTTTCTCTTGCCTGTGGTGGTCCACCTCCGAACATGAATGGAAAGGGCATAAAGTCATTGTCATCTTCTTGACCACTTTGACCACGTAATGCTCGTTGTACTTCAGCTGCAACGAGTTGTTCAACTAATGGTGTCATTTGTTTTAAAACACTGGCTACAATTTTTTCTTCATCTTCTTTAGTTATCTCCTTTTTTGCTGGAGTTTCATCTTTTGAAGAAGTTGATACTTGAGTTGTTGTAGTTTCTTCTGTTTTCTGTTGTGTTTCTGGTTTCTTTTGTTCATCCGATTTTTTTTCGTCTTCAGATTTCTTTTGTTCTTGTGTTTCTTTCTTTTCCTCTTGAGTTGTTGTTGTAGAGGATGTTGTTGCAGACGATGTTGTTGCAGGTGGTGTTGGAGCTGTTGGTGGTGGATTTGCTTGAAGGTTAGCTTGTCTTTGTTGTTCTTTTTGGTCAGCTTCATTCAATGGTGGAAACACTTGACGTATACCTGCTGCGACTTCATCACTTTGTTTTTGTAAATTACGTATTGGTATTGTTGGACCTGTTTGAGCTTCACCACTAGCTAGACGTTCTTCTAATGTAACTTTTGGTTTCGTATCATCTGATGGTGTTTGTCGGCCACTATTCGATACAGTAGGTTGTCCAGATCCTTGAGGTGCAGAAGCTTGTCCATATCCTTGTGAAGCAGCACTACCTTGTTGATTTTGTTGAGGAACAGGAGGTCTTCCATTCTGTTGAGAAGATGAAAGAGCAGGAGGTGAAAGAATTGGTGGACCTATAAAAGAAATATTATGCTGTTTCTACTAAAATATATTCAATTCAGACTTTGTAATTGTTGAAGTAATTGTTTATTTTGTTGAAGATAAGGAGGTAAAGGTCGCTCGGGATGAAGTAAAATTGTACGATGTGATGGACCATCATCAACTTCGACAACTTCACGATCATCTAATTTATAATAGCTTAAGAGACGACGAATATTATTATCTTGTTGTTGAAGTATAGCCTTTTGTTGTTGTGGAGTTAATGGTCCACCTGCTTGTTGATTATTTGCTGGTACAATAGGCTGTTGTGGTCTAACTTGTTGGTATGGACCACCTGCATTTGGATTTTGAGATGATGCTCCATTACTTTGTTGTGAACCACCTGGTGATTGTGGTTGTGGTGGTTTACCTGGGCTGGTTGGTGTTCGAGGTTGTGGACTAGTTGGTGTTTGTGGTTTACCTGGTTGTTGTGAACCACCTGGTGATTGCGGTTGTGGTGGTTTACCTGGTTGTTGTGAACCACCTGGTGATTG